CACAGCCACTGAACACGATCGGAGTGAGCACAGTCCTGAGGTTTCTATCCGTCAGAAGAGACTAGGATGACCTGGTTTAAGAAAAATATCAGAATTATGTTAAACGGTAATTTTGACAATTGAAAGACCTTTAAGAGTTTTTAAGTATTGGTTTCAAATGCTGTGCTATATATCCTCATTCCTTAGGTTCTGAAGTCAAGGCATGTTTCCGGTTTAGAGCATCATTTAGAGCACTAAACTTAGGTTTTTAGAGCAAGGCTATTCTACATTAAAAGCCCAAGTGCTATTCTTATTATTTACTCCCACGCTCCTTTATTATTCACACAAGGGAACGACCTTGTCCTTGGACCTATGTTTCCGTAAAGGGACACCATTACCCACTTCACTGCATTTGTCATGAACGTGCATATGATCCTAAAAAGAAGTATGTAACCATGTAGGGCTTGCACTTTCAAAGTTTGTATTTTCAAGCCTGTGAAATCATAGCAAATATCACAAGCAAGGAATAAGGCTACTTATGTGTTTCAAGAATAATTTTAACTGGATGATGTTAACCAACTACAATAGTCAGTATGATCCTCTCGCCATGGGCTTAATATAAAATACTTCATTGTCCTCTCTCCAAAACTCCCCTTTCCTGCTAACTACTTAATACCGTGCCACTAGATTCCCTTTGGGATACTGAATTCTCAATAAAGTAAAAGAATCACACTTCTCTGAAGTAACTGCATTATATCCCCATTAAAGCCCTGATGTTCTTGGAGAATGCTGGGGCATGGAATTTCAGCATCCAATAAATAATCCCACTTCCTCACCTCACCAACCATTTTAGGGAGTCAGAAATTAAACTAACTAAATTTGGAAGATCAATTCTATCCTCTATCTAGTCAAGGAGTCCTTGCCACCACATGAAAATATTCTTATCTTTTCTGTCACTGTAACTTTATTATGAGGTAGTGAATAAAATAATAGAAATAGAGCCCAATTTTAATCACAGCCCCCCACCCCAGGTGGATCTGGGCTACCTTGAGCAAACTGCTTAATGGTTTCATGCCTCAGTTTCCTCATCTGAAAATGGATATTATAACAATAGTACATACATCATAGGATCATTGTGAATAAGAACTGGGGTAATTTA